TTGATTGTCCCCACTGCAAGACGGCGGCCAATCGATATGTCCTTGTTAAAATAATAACAAAAAGTTCAGCAGACTTTTCCCGCGTTTTTATGATGCCTCTGCAAAGTAGCCGATGGGATCCTGCCCCGTTCCCTTTGCAACCTTGCAGACTTCTTGCGCGCTTTGCAGAGGACTGGCTTGGGGGGGCGGGCGGTGAGAGGCATGGGACGGGGAGGGGGGGTCGCGAAGGAAGAAATGCAGACAAAGCAATAAACACTCCGCATCAGGGAGGGGCATCGTCCGGCCAACGTGACTGGCGACCTGGACCTTTGTTGTAAAGGGGGGGGAGTTGGGGGGAGAAGGTTTAAACACCCCCACCCTTTCTCTCCCCCTGCCTTGCTGCTCTTAGAGAGAAGCGAGTCCCTCTTATTTGTCTCTTGTCCCCGACTGTGGCTGGGATATCGACAGAGGGGGTGGGGGGTGGGGGGTGTGAACAAAACAGTGGGGCCAGCTGCAGATGGAGGCGGGGTCGAGGGAGAGGTCAAGGTTAGCGAGAGACTGCTATTGATCTGACTTTGAACGCGAGACGAGCAGCGCGGAGAGACCAAAGGGGGAGCTGTGAGACAAGACATTAACAGCTTTCGCGGTGCTAATGATCACAAGTGCCAGACGGGGGAGGGAGGAAAGGAGAGGCTGTGGAAATCACTTCGGAATATATTTCCGACCCCTACCGCCCGCAAATCTCGTCGTTAGGACATATCCAGGACGCAGAAAAACCTTCATAATAATAATAATAATAATAATAATAATAATAATAATAATAATAATAATAATAATAATAATAATAATAATAATAATACCCACCAATACAAGTCACCACCCTCATGTGATCTAGCGCCTTTATCTCTCCGGGAAAAGCGACTTTGCGCGCGCGCCCCTTCTCCGCTTGCAATAAACTCAGGAAGGCGACGCGGCCAGTCTCGTTTATTCGCCCTTATCTTGGATCTGAATAGCCCCTGGCAAGGAGGGTGGCCTAGCAAGGTGTGTCTATCCCCCGATTGCTCCGCACACCCCACCAGGCCGTTTGAAGTTTCCTGCCCAGAGTGACAAAAAAATAAAAATGCACTCAAGGTGGACTTTGCTCGCCTCGCCTCTCTGGGTCTGCGGGAAAGGCGGAAAGGGCCATTAGTCGGCAGAAATCTCGTGGGGTTCCGACCCCACCCGCGCTAAACAGAGTTTCCTCCTCTTAACACGTAGGACGCGTTCACAAGACCTCACTTTTGTTACACTTCAGGGATAGTTCCAAGCCCTGCTTCTGTATTCAGAAGCGTCCGCTGGAGCGGAGGGTGCCTCAAATTTCCACGCTGTCAATAAGCGTTACTGCCGCGTAGTCGTGAAACAAGAGTACAGTATTCTTCACATTGCCTGTTCGGAATTTATACTCAAAGTCAAGTCCTATACGTGTTTCCTAAGAAGCAAGTCGCCCTGATTTCTAGGGGACTGACTTCTGATGTGAACTCGCATTTGGGACCTAATTTCTGGTGGAAGAACGTGACCTACAAATTCGCACCCATGTTTGGGGTTGTGTGAATGCGCCCCAGCAGGGTGGGTTCGAAGGAGTAGGGGTATTTTATAAAAATGTGAGTCTACCTATCAAAGTTTTATGGGCCGATCCACTACATATTAACTTGGCAGCCATTCCAACAACTCAAGTGGGACTTACTCCTAGGTAAGTGTTATGCGGATCTCAGCCCTAGAAGTGTGTGTTTGGCTTGACACTGGTATTAAAGGATTACCAACAACTCAGCAAGAAGTAAGAAAAAGAATCTGGGGGAAGTAAAGACTTGTGTGAACGAAGGAAATAAAACTGCTCTGGGAAATTTGTGCAGGAACTCTCCCGGAGAAGGATTCGCGCGTCGGAGTTCAAGTCCAAGATGCTCACCAGAGCTTTTGTTTCCTGAACTATTTGCTCAACTTCTTTAGTTATCACGTGGTTTTTATACCCGGACCTTCCTCCGCACTTAGGAGCACAGGGCGGCGCAGAAGACACCAAGGACAGTATGCAATTACTGTTGTATCTTCTGGGGCACTTTACGAGCCTAGAAAGGCTACCTGGAAACATCCGGACCCCTCTACTCTTGGCATCAATTATAGTGATGCCAGGTGGGGCTGGCGCGTTTCACGCGTAAAACTAGAAAAATGGAACATACGATTTAATATCTGGAATAAAAAACACCCTAGTTTTTTGGGGGCGGGGGAGTTTGAGGGCGTGGGACACAAAGCACTGCGTTCCACTAAGAGTATGAAAACCCCACAAATCCCTGCCTCTTCTCACACAATCGCAGCAGCGGGTCCTTTAAGGCGCCCCCTCCTCTTTCTTTTCTTTGTCGCTAGGATTGTTTGGACAACTTTTTGAAACAGCGCGCGCGTGTGCGTCGAAGAAAGAGCCATCTCTCTCGCTCTCTCCTTTTCGGCGGCTTCCTGTGTTGCAAGAAGTTGTTTCTATCGTGATGCTAATTTGCCTTTTGTATAAACCGGCAAAGCCCCCAGCGAATCTGCGAAGGTCTGGGAGAGGCGCTGGAGAAGGGGGTTTAAAGAGGCGCTGGACGACTCGCTCCATCTCTCTTGCCCGCTTTGTTGAGTGGAGAGCGAGGAGAACTGAGCCTAGGTCTTCAGAAGAGCAGTTGGAGGAAGTTTGGGCCGGGGGTTGGCCAACGAGGGCCCGCCTTGGCGCCCTCACCCATCCCACTTCTGGGTTTATTTATTTGGGGCGCGGGGGGGGGGGAGAGTCCTCTATTCTGCCCTCAGGTGGAAACAAATAAGCAGGAGTGCCATGTTCCCAAATAAATAACAGTAAGGATGAGACGGAAGATGGGGTCTTTGGGGTTCCAAGTAGATCCCGGAAATGGAAGCAGGCTGCTGGTTTTCGCTTGGAAAGATGGAAGGACAGTGGAATAGTGAATGCTCAACCCGACCAAATTTACTTACCTGGAAGTGAGCTCCATTGAGCACAGTGGGATATTAGCCTAGGGTTGCTTTGCCTTGTTAAACGCCCGTTGGTTGTGAAAAATTGGCAATCAGAAGTAAAGTCCTATTCAGCGGGACATATTCCAAGAAAAGTGTATATGGGGGTTGCAGCGTTACGCATATATTTTAACTCTCCCACTAAATTCAGGGGGTTTAATTATTGCTGGGTTGTCTTCCACGCTGCTTCTTAGCTGAATGTATGAATGCAGATCATCAAAGCATCTCAGGGACTGGAGCAGAAGGGGAGGGAGACTGGAGCATGTGTGTGTGTCAGGAAGACCTCTCCACACATCTCTAGCCCTGCCTGGTAGAAGCCGGAGCTCAGGATCAGAGCATCCTCTTGGCCTGGCTGAAGAAAGTCCAAGATATGATCTCCTGCGTCTCCAAGTAGGGCTAGCTAGGAAACTGCTTGTCCGGAGAGCAGCTCACCATGTCCGGTGGACGACTCTGAGATAGGTGCACCAGTTCCCTTAATAAATAAGTGGGGCAGGGTGAGATGTGAATCTTAAAACTGGACGGGGCCGCCTCTCCCAGCAGGAGAAAAACCTCACTACATCCCTCTCCTGGTCAAGCCATTCAATCTAGATCTGCGAGGGCTACAAGTGAGCCCCAAGCCAACGGCTGTTAAGTGTAGAGGAAGTGGTGAATCCGGGCAAGGACACTATGTGGGAAGTGTGGTGATGGTGATGGGGAGTTAATCTTCAATGGCAGAGTACTAGAGTACTAGTACTGCTTGGAGTACAAAAGGTCCCAGGCTCACTCCCTAGCCTCTCCAGATATGTTTGGGAGAGACCCTTGCCTGATCCTTTGGCGCGCTGCTGCCAGTCAGTGCAGACAACACGAAGCAAGGTGGACCCATGGTCTGACGCAGTATAAGGCAGCTTCCTATGTTCCAGTAATGGGAAGAGGAAAGTTAACCACAGGAAGAGGGCCTTTAATGCAATCTCTACCCTCCCACCAAACGTGTTTGAATTCTCCCATGCTACACTTAGTAATTCAGATTGCAACTTCTTGCATATGGATGTGTGTGTGTGTGTGTGTGTGTGTGTCAGAAGTGACAAAACCGACGGGCGCAATTACTCCATAGCGAGGTCTGCTAGTGAACTGGACCCTTTCAGGGCGCAAATCCATTTTCCAATGGCTCTCTCGCTTGCAGGGCTCACGCGCGCTCGGCGTTTCGAAACGAGCCAATGAAAAAGCGTGTGATCCCCGAAGCCCACGTCTCCAGGATCCCTCGCAGAGGATGCTGGGTGCTCTTTCGGATCGTGGCGGCTTGTGGGGCACCTGCGCGCAGGCCTCCTGAAGGCGATCCTACTATTGGAGCCGCCTGGTTCCGAACTGGGTCTGTCTAGTACAAAGTCATAAACTCAAGCACCACTTAATGTGGACGAAGCGAGCCTTCTAAAGGCATTTTAACCACCCTTCTGTGGAACAGGGTGGTTAAAAGTGTGGCAAAGACCACTTACCGGTTCCCTCTTCCTCGCCCTTTCATGTTTACGGTCAGAACTAAAGAGTCAAAATGCGCCAGCCATGACGCGTGTGGAAACAAGCAGTGATGGTTATTCTGCGTTATTTGATCAGAATTAGGGGACAGCAACCTTGCTCGTTGTGTTTGTGCGGGCATGCAGGTTAGCTATAAACTTTGGGACCCCCAAACTGGAGGAGCACTAGTGCATCCAGAGTGATCCGGCACGGAAAGCAATTCAATGCAAAGCTAAATCTCAGAGGTCACCAGGGAACCCCGCATTTCAGACAGAAACTTGCAGGAGAAGCCGCGTAAAAACGCACCTGCCTTGCGTTTTAATAACCACCGCTGCGTAGGAATGTATTGGGGAGGCGCATGGAGGTCCACCGTGACTTATTTACCGATTTGCCCGGTTTGGGCTTCCTTGGGGTCAATGCTGAGTTTGCAGCGAGCCCGGGGATTTCACAGGGACCCTTTCCCTCGCGAAGTGGGTAGAGAGAGGGGGGACGACGAGAGAGGGAGCGAGGAAGAGGAGAGTGTGCGCGTCTTTGTGGCTCCCTCTGCAATCGCAATTCAGATTGAGAGGAGGGGGGGGCGAGAGAGAAATATCTCTTCCCCCACGCAGATATTTGTGTTATTGTAAAAACTGTTGGAAATGCGAAGGTGTTTGGAGCGGAGTCGGGCTGCTGCTGCCGCTGCCGCCGCCGCCTGCTCGGCTGCCTGCGCGCAGGGGAAGAGGAGAGCGGGCGAGACAGCTCCTTAGTTGAAAGGGGGGCAGCGAAGGGATCTCCGCGAAGCAAAGATCCGAGCCGCCTGGGAGATCTCGGAGCAGGTGGATCGAGCGAGAGCAGGATGGATCCCGCGCCCTTCCCGGGGGGCGCCCACCTCAACCCCCTCCCGCCTGGCTCGCCGGGTCGAGCCCACCGCTCTCACCGCCCACTCTTTTTCTGCCTTTCCGGCGCCAGCCTGCTGAGCTTCACCAGCCCCCTTACCTACTCGCCCCCCCCGCCAGCGCTTCCCCCGGGAGACGGCCGTCCCTTTTGGGCTTCTTGCCAAGGGGCGGAGGAGGGGGGAGGCGGCTGCCCGGGCCCTGATCTGCCCCCTCCCGCCACCTAACACCCCCCAGACCTTGCCTGCGTCTCATCCTAAACCTGATCGGCGATGGTTTGGGAGAAAGGGACTCTCGGTCCCTCTTTTTTTCCTGATTGCTCCTCTTTTCTCCCCCTTCCCCAGCTAAATTCTGCTTAATTTCATTTTGGCTGCGTGCTCCGCAGACGTAGCCCTGGCTAAGCAGTCGGAGCCGCGTGTGTGCTTGGAGTCTGTTTGAGGGTGGCTTTTCCCCCCTCTCCCTCTCTCTCTCTCCTTCCTCCTCTTTTCCTTCTTCTCCCCCTTCTTCTTGTTCTCTTGCAGGGTACAATGTTAAAAAGCCACCGCTAGTCGCCCCCAGTGCTCCTACTCTCTAGGTCTTTTTTGTCTCTAGTGCAGATTAAACGTCACGTCCGCACTTGAACTTGAATTTTATCCCATTGTACGGAGGCAGACCCAGCCATAGAGAGACAGAGCGCTCCCAGGGAACCAGGACTCCGCCATCTTCACATTGCAATATATCTCCTTAGTAATAGCCAGCACTAACCCAGAAGCACTGGGGGGCTTCCTTCCTAGCAAGACCCTGTGCCAAGCGAGGGGAGGAGGGGGGTGAAGCCAGTGGCAAAGTGGTGCGAGCAAAGCAAAGCAAAAAATATTAATATTATACAACAACAAAAAACCAACCCAGTGGCACTTGAACTGGCAAAGAGGAGACACAGTTTGGGCTACCCCCTTTTTCTTTTTTTTTTTTTGAAAAAAGAGACAAGAAAGCGAGAGAGAAAGAATTCTAATTAACCCAGCAAGGGTAATTTTTTCCTGCATTTTTCTCTGCGTGTGGGGAAATTCCAATTTTTCTACTTTTGTGCGAGCGTGTGTGTATGTAATCCATTTTTTTCTTTTTTAAAAAGATTCCTCCTGGTGGAAGAAGTGCACTTTGCTTCTCTCCCCCCCCCTCTGCTCTCTTGTTTTTCTTTTTCTCCCCCCCGCCTCCAAAGCACTCTGGAAAAATTAAAAAAAAAAGTGTCAGCGCTTGGTGAGGGGGGGTGGGAAACCATCCTTCTCTCCTGAAGTTCAAGAAAAGACCTGGAAGCGGTGAAAAGGAAAAAAACCAACCAACCAAACAAAACAGTTGTCTTGCGAAAACAAAAACCAAGGCTTCCCCACTCTTCCGATGATGATTTTTTAATTGAAGGAAGAATCTCATCTTGAGTGCTCCAAAGGGGGGGTGGAACTGTTCCCCCCTCTTCTTCTTCTTTTTTTTAAGAAGAAAAGTACCAAGAAGAAAATAGAAGACCGGGAGGAAGAAGAAGATCGCTCCCCACCACCACCACCTCCAACCCGATCCCCCCCTACCCAAGTCCAGCTCTCCGGGCGATGACCGTGTAAATGCCAGGGCAATGTCCCGTCGCAAGCAGGGGAACCCGCAGCACTTATCACAAAGGGAAATTATCACGCGTAAGTTGCAACTCTTTCAAAGGAGCCGGATCGGAAAGGAAAGTGGTGTTTCTATGTGTGTGTTGGGAGAAGGAGAGCAGTGATGGGAAGCTGGGGTGCGTTTGTGCGCGTGGTGTGTGAAGCTGACCGGGAAAGATTGGAGAAGGGGTGTGTGGTGCGTAAAGTGAAGGGTCTTGGAGAGTTTGCAAAGAATTGGCGCGGGGGGGGGACGACGGTGGCTGACGGGGAGAGGGGAGTCGAGGAGGGAGAGAAGCGGGGGGCCGGCAGGATAGGTGTTCTGGAAAGTAAAGTTTGCAGGGTAACGGAGGAGGCCGCGAAGCCGGCTGAGAGCGGCAGAGGCGAGCTGGGGACGGCGGGGAAGACGGCCGGGTGGGGGATCCGCAGCAGGGACTTTCAGAAGAGAGGCTGGGTTGGAAAGGCTGGTCCAAAGTTGGCGAGCACGCGAGAGCAGCAGCCGGAGCGGCAGCGGCGGCAGCCGGGAAGAGGAAGGTGGCTGGAGTCGGGGCTGGAGCGGGGGGAGCCTTAATGGGAACCACATGCAAGGGACGCCTGGCAGGCCAGCGATGGAGCGGCGAGGCCGGTCTGGGGAGCCGGGAGAGGCGGAGGCGGCGCGCGGAAGGCGAGGTTGGGTGTGTGTGTGTGTTGGGGGGAGATCTAGCGACGGGGGTCTGCATCTCGCCCCACCGTCATCCGTTAGGGAAGCCCGGCTTGGTACCGGAGACATAACAGGACCGGGCGTTGGGGAAGGGGCCGAGAGAAATGACAGTGTACAGGTAGACAGGCAGGCGGGCGAGAGCCATTTGCTCGACTCCCCCCTGGGCAAGGTCCGGCTGCCCTGCCCAAAGCGCAAGGTAGCTTTTGTATGCATTTATGCATGTGCTAACCTTGCTGCAAAATGGTGTGTGTGTGTTTTTTTTTTGGGGGGGGAGAGACAGACAGGTGTGTTACGGTGGGAGGGAAGGGGTACATTTTGTGTGCACGTTGCAAAGTAAAGTAGCACCATATATTTTTTTCTTTGCAAAGTGAAGCGCGCGCACAGTTTGCAAAGCGGCGAAGGAGTCCTGCAAAAAGGCGCGCCACTTTTGCAAAAGAGCGAGGTGGTAGGATCTCATCGTAGTAGCGAAAAAGCAGCCCAAGGCAGCAGTGTGTTGAGGGGTGGAAGCGCGAGGAGCGATCTAGAACGAGGTGTTCCTTTCCCAGGAGCCGCGGGTGGTGTAGGTGTTGTGTATGGTGGTGGTGGTGGAATCCAGGCCCAGAGTTGCCTGTATAGGAGTCCAGATCCGGGGTGGGTGGTGTCAGTCTTCCTTAGTAGCAGCTTCGCTTTGCAAATATCTCCTGCCCTGCTAATAATGAAGGACAAAAACAAAGCACCCAAACTCTGCTCCTCTTTATTTCGCTTCTGCCCACTCCGCTATTTCCAACACTGAAATGCAGTGGAAACCCAACACACCTAAAGGTTGCGCCTTGAAGGTTTGCAGGCAGCAGAGATGTGCATTTTGCTCTCCTGACCTGGATGATCAATAATAATAATTTATTTTATTTTGGAGGCTAGTATCAGAATTAAAAAATAAGAATAATGCAAGGGAAGGAAATCGGCCTCTGTTCCTGTTAATGGGGTTGGGGGGGGGTGGCGCGGAGGGAGGGAGAAAAAAGGGAAAAATCACAGCCCCAAACATAACGCCAAAAAGAACAGCTCCCTTTGCACGCTTGGCTTTTGCAAAGCAGCCGTTGCGCGTGTGGAGCCGGGCGAGCGGAGAAGGGGGGGGCGCAGTGTGTGAGAGAGAGGGGGGAGAGAAAGAAGCAAGAGGGAAGGGGGCCGAGCCGGAGAGGATGTTGGGGGGGGGCGCAGAGAGAGAATAATAGAATATGTATGTTATATTTCTTAAAAATTTAAATAAATAAATAAATATATATATATAGCCCGGCGTCTCCCCTCCCCCTTGAAAGCCTAAGACTAGCAGCCATCTGCCAGCAGCATTTGGTGACAGCGCTCTCTCCTCTCTCTCTTTCCTCTCCTTTGTTACAGCTGATAAAAATTGTTGTTTGTAGCAATACATCGGAATTATATTGATTGGCGAATGCAGCCGTTCGACTTTGGACGGTGCTTGGCTTGCGAATTCTATTTTTCCCCCTCTCCCCACTTTTATTTTCTTCTTCTTTTCCTTCCTCTCCTCTCCTCTCCCCCCTCAAAAAAACCAACCCTTTCTTGCCACCCCCTCTAAAAACAACAACAAAAAAGCCTTTATTAACCAGCTGCAACAGCACGAATGAAGATGCGTTGGTTGATTTTGAACACTGTTTTCAACCGGGGAGTTTGACGGTGCTTGCCGAACCATGGGGGGGGGGGAGAGAGTGGATTTTCTTTTCTTCTACTTTTTAATTTTCCCGAAATAACACACCAAACCTGTAACACCTTTCGACCAAACTGTATTTTTCTCTTTCTTTTTCCCCCATTAAGAAAACCTAGCCGGATTGTAACATTGGGGAGTTGTTGATCCACCCTCCTTTTTATTTTTTTAAAAAACCAACAAGATCCAGATTATTTCATGTAACTCTATTCCCCCCCCCCCCGTGTAGTTTGCATGGGGGACTTTGCTTGTTTGAGATTGTGTGTATGTGTAATGTATGTGAACCAGAAAAAGGTAAGGCAGGCAGTATTGTGTGGAGATATTAGGAAAAGGAAAGAGGCATGTTTGCAAATGTTCCAAATTTTAATTGGCGTGAGGTTAGTCAGGTGGGATTCTTCCTGATTTCCACCTCTTTCCCACCAACTCCCCCACTGTGATTTTTTTTTTTTTGGGGGGGAAGTATATGTAATTTGGAATTGGGTACCAGGTGGGTGTTAAGTATAATGGAAGGATACCTTTAAACATCTGTCTGCACAGTGTGGAGAAAAAACATAGCCAGGTCTTTTTCTCTGTTCCCCTATTCATCCTCCCATCTGGAAAGGACTTAACAACAGGACTGTCTGAGGTCTCTTAAACTAAGGTTAAGACAAAAGGGAAGAAGATAGATGGGCATAAATCATGTGTATTTGGTGTGCCTAGATTTGCAATGGGCAGCCCGGGTGGGGTGGGGGTAGGAATTAGGAAAAAGCAACTGGATGTTTGAGCTAGAGAGACAGAGGTGGTTTCAGCATGAAAGTGGCTGGACCAGTTTCTAGGAAACAGTTATACATTATTAAAAGGGGAGCCTGTTTGGAAGAGAGAAGTTTGACAAGAAGGGCCAAATAAAGAAAGAATTAACTTAGCACGGCAACTCCCCTCCGCACATACATGCAAATATACCTGCACCTCTTTTTGCTGAAGGAATCTGGAGTCAGATTCTGAGGTCCGCAGCTGTTTGATGGAGCAGCTTGTCAAGGAAATGGCATTGCATTTGAGGGTATAGTGCTAAGTGGAGGAGCAGGCTGGCAAATGGGTTTAATTCTAACCCTCTTCATTGGAGTTTATTAGATTTTAGTCCCTGTGGGGTGTTGAAAGAAAAACTGCTATCCTGAATGGCAAACAAGTAGAAAGTGAGCGTGAGAAAGGAGGGTGGGTTGGGGGAATATTTACAGCCTGGTCCTATTCATATTTACTCAGAAGAAAGCACTGCTGAGCACATTGGGGTTTAGTCTTGAGTAGGTAAGCATAGGCTTTGCAGCCGGAAGGGTACAATCCAGATTCATTTCAGATCAGGCAAGGGTTTTGTTATTATATACAATAACTGACTTTATTGCCATAGTATGGTATTTTTGCAGTTCTGAGAGAGGTTCCTATCATTCCTGAGACTTAAGTTCCCCACCCCAAATATATCTCAGTACCCTGTTTTTGACAGAGGGATAGCTGATGGAATGAGCAAATTTGGGTACGTCTCCAGTGATGGTTGGCTGTGAAAAATACAGCAAGGTTGTATAATACAAAAATGACATCTCTTATGTAAAAATCCCGACAAGAGATGTTCTAGGACTGTTCTGAATGACAGATGATAATGTTGGCCGGACATCTGCGACAGGTTTTAACTGCTTCAACAGTGAGATGTGAGCACTGGTTATGAATTTTAGGAATGGGAGGAATTGTTGAAAGGGAGTCTTAAGTCACCTTCTGCCAGCAAAATGACCTTCATTATTAAAAATATATATATGGTTGAACCCTCCTGAAGAAAGTTCTTGTGGTGTGGAGGTGGCTGAAAGGAGAAAAACATAAAATAATCCCTGTACAATTTAATATTTTTTTTAAAAAAATCAGATTTGAAGTCCCTGGTCAGCAAGTTATTTGCTTCCTGATTTGACCCTGTCTGTTTGCATTGTGTTCCTATAGCTAAGAGAAAACACCGTTTATTTATTTATTCCATTATTATCCTGTTTTCCTTTGGTGGAATAATTCCTGTCGTTCAAAGATGAGCAAGAAAACTAACAGACACAGCAAAGAAAACGGCACATAGATGTAACTTAACAGAATTAGCCAGGAAGGAAATTGCAGGGATGCTTGGATTTTTTTGGGCGTACCTGTAGGGCTGTAACACATGCATGTTGTTAGCAGGTGTTGTGAGCTTGAGTTATTGAAAATACTGTGTTCTCCATTAGCTGCGTCTGAGCTGCACATCGTCAGGTTGCACATGTTACATTAAACTTAAAAACTGCAGAATTCAAAAGGATAGGCTCTTCTCTCGTTTTGGATACTTCCAAACATTCTGTCCACTCTTCCCATGCTGCCTTTGAGTTGTTTGATAAGAAACAGCTTTGTGAATGGATGATGGAATAAGAAACAGATTTGCTTTTCATTGGAAGGCAAACACAGAGGAGGCTATTTTGTCAAGCTTATTGAAGCATTTTAGTAAGCATGGCTGAAGATCTTTTTCTCCCCAACGTTCCTTATTAGCAAGGCTTGCATTGGAGTGAATGTCTGTGTCCTTATTTAGCATCAAATTTATTGTGCCGTGTGTGTGTGTGTGTGTGTGTTGAACAAAAGACAGTCCTCTAGTACACAGAACACAAATGATGATCTGAATGATTGTGG